CATAATTAGTTGCTAATTGGGTGAGAGCTGCTGTAATTGGTTTTGTTGGCACGACCTGGCTCACCTGCCTGGGGGAAAAGGGGGAAAGAGTTGATGGCTGTAGTGGAGGCCTTGGGTCTGGAGCTGGAGATCCTGGCCCATGGCTGTGATTGGAGGTCAGATATTAAGGAATTTCGCCAGAGAAGCCTGGACGCTACCTCCTACCCCCCAAAGAGCGGGGAGTTTAAGCCAAAGCAAACTCCTGGATTTGGCTTCTAGGGGTTCTCATCACAGTGGGGGGGGCGGCGGCTAGAAGAGCCAGCCCCTGCATTAGCAGTGCCAGTGTCTCCTGCTCAGCCACATGTGGGAATTCAACCTGAGCAAATGGCAGATGCCCCAGAGAGGGTCCATGGGAACACTGGGCAGGGGTCACCCTGATCACATCCCTGGCAGAGGCTGGAGCTCTGGCTTCACCCGGCCAGTGTTGGTGTCCTGACATTGAGGTATGAATGGAGGGGGTATGCTGAACATGGGGGAAAGGTGCTTGTTAAGCCATTGGGGCTGCCCTGCCCCCAGCTCAGGCTGGCTGGGGCTCCCAGGGTTGCAGGGCTGTGGCCAGGGACTGAGGCCTTCCGGCTGGCCGCTCATTAAAAGGGGATTAGGCCCACAGCCAGGGGGCCAGCCCAGCCCCTGGACCTTCCTCTGGGGCCCTGCAGCTTTGGTGGGGGGTAATAAAGGGGCTGAGACCCCCTCCCTGGAGCCCATGGGGGTGTCCAGTAGGGACTGTCTGCACCTGGCCACTCCCGCCACGTCCATGTCTGCCTTAGCTTCCCTCAGAGGGCAGGGACTCTTTCTGACAGAGAAACCCTGCCCAGCACCCCCACCTCTCACTGCCCGCATCATCTCTTTAGCGCAGAGATGAGGGCCACGCTAGTCCACATGAGGTCAGAGGTCAGGGCTGGGCTGTAGGGTCCTGTCTGTCATGGCCCCCTACCCAAGCATGGCTAGGGGAGGTGACCTGTCAGTCAGAGCCTGCTGCTTTGTGGGGTCGTAACCAAGGGGGCGGAGCACTCACCTCTACTCCAAGACCCCCCACTTTTTGTGGCAGCCCTTGCCTTGCTGGCAACGGGTGCCGTCGAGACAGGCAGCAGGGGCCTGCCTGCTCAGGGCTGGCCTTGTCTGCCAGCTCCTTTAGAGTGGGGACTCACTGGCTGCTTCCCAGGGAGCAGCAGCAGCAGCCCCCCAAGACTAAACCCCCTGTGTTCCTGCCTCCAGACCTTGGCCAGGTCATTCTGCGCCAGAACCCTGAGTGTCTAGTGGCCTTGGGGGATGCGAGGCTAGGAATGACTGCGGAAATGAGGTGTCTGATGCCAGAAAAGGCTCTTCCTTCCCAGTGACGGGAAAAGCCTTCCCGGATGTCGCCCCACCCAACCTGTGCCCAGCCTGGGTGAGCGGGTGGGGGTGGGGAGCCCTTCCCAGGAATCATCACCTAGTCACACCGCCCTCCCTCCCTAAGGTCAGAGATACCCACAGAGCCCTGAGCTGTGTCCTGGCCTCACCCTCAGTATTGTCATGGAGATGGAGAGGGTGCACTTCTGCTCTTAGGGCTGGACCTCAGACAAGGGAGACCGGGATGGGACCTGGTCTGAGGATATGTTCAGGCTGGACCACGGCACCTTCTCCCACGAGTGGCCCCTCAGGCCCCCTTAGCACAGTCCCTGCTCCTTACAGCAGTATGTAGCTGCTGTCACTGCAGGTGCCAGAGTGGGAGACCTAGCATCGCTTGACTGCCCTCTGCCCTGGCCCAGGCCTCATGGAGGAATGAAGGCCCTAGTTCTTTCGCCCCGTCACAGGGTAGGGAGCGTGGACAGGATATCAGTCGTCACTTGTGGCCTGAGGTGTGCTATTTCCCCCTGGCCTCAGTCTTTCTGCCTGGAGCTGGGAGCAAGGCTGTTGTGGGGTCCTTGTTTGACTCCTTTCCTGCGGGTGCTCCAGTGGACAAACGCTGCAGCTGCAGCACGGCCGGAACCCCGCACCCAGTCCACTCCCGGACCTGGGAAAGCGCCTTCCCTTCTCCACCTATTTCCCTTTATGTAGGTCCGGTTTGGATGGGTTATTCTGGGTTTAGCTCTGCTGGGGGCTGGTAGGGGGGGCAGACAGGATGGAGTTAGAGGGCGGCTGAGGTGAGTCATACAGGAACCCCTTCCTCCCCATTGCCCTCTCTGCTCCCCATCCCAACACTAGCAAACGGGGCAGCGGAGTGGGACCGAGGGGTGGATATCTCTAAGAGATGGTGAACCTGCTTCCATGGAGAGGACTTGCGACCCTGTCCCACTCTCCTTACCCCCAAGTCAGAGGCAACCTGTGAAGGGGGGGTGGTCTGAGGGCCAGAGGAGATCAGAGCAGAACCCCCACCCCAGGGCCACGTCGAATGTTAGTACTCGGAGTCCCCACACGGTGGGGAAATAAGGCTTAGAGAGCCAGAATGCCCCACCTGGGGTCACGAGCTCAGGCCAGAGCTCAGGCCAGAGCCGGACTCCTGATGGTGGTCCCACCCCGCCACGCCCCACACAGCCTCATGGGGGCTCTCCTCCCACCTCATGGTTTCCACGGCGACTGAAACATCTTGTCCTGTGACAACAGAACCATTGACGCCATTTCCCGGTGGCCACTATGTAGTCCCGAGGGTCCTGAGTCACATGCCTGTCACTGGAGAGGGAGTCACCTTCCAGCCCTGGGCCTCCCCCTCCGTAGGCTCAAAAACCAAGGACCTGAGTGGGAATCTCTCCCACCACCCCTGCACTCTGGCACGTAGCTTTCCTTCTGTGCTTCACCTGTAAATTGATGTTTGGACCTCAGGGCTTTGCATATAGTATGTGCTGAAGACTGATGGGAAGCTCCTCCCCCGCCCCCAGGGGCAGACAGGCTAGGGACTCTGTTGAGGGGCAGGACAGTGAGATCAGCTAATCTGCTCTACATGGAGGCGCCGGTTTCTTCACTGGCCGAATGGGCTGTTCCTGGCTTTCTCACAGAGGGCCTGGAGCCCACAGTGCTGGGGCTTTGATGGGGACACGGACTTGGAGGTCCATGGCAGAGGAAGTGGGTTCAGACTATAGAGGCCAAGGCTGGGCAGGAATGGGGGGTGAGGGGCAGTACTGGTTGTGTTTCAGGGAGCTAGGTGTTTGCAGCTTCCCCCACCCCAGGTGCTTGTGTCTGGAGGTACCCATTTGAGTTTTTCTTGCTCCCCTCCAGTGCCCCCTAAATGCCCCTTACCCTGGGCCAGCAGGACGGGTAAAGGTACAACCAAGGCCATGCCCCCATACCCTCAGCCAGGGTATAAATAACCCCTGGCGGGCTGTACCCAGCCTGGGGGTGCTCCGCTGGCAGCCCCACTTCCTCTCTGGCTACTTCCTGGCCCTGGGAGGTGGGTGAGTGTTTACTTTCCTGTTGTCACTAGGGCTGGGTGGCCAGGCGGGGGACTCCGAGTGGCCCAACAACAGGTGCAGGACAGGTGCCCAGGCTGCCCTGCCCAGGACTTCAGAAGCGCCGCCGAGCAGGCGGGAGAGGCCGTAGCCTGGCAGGAATTGGTCCTTTGATCCCTCGGCGTCCCTCCGTCCCAGTGGTTGGACAAGGTCATCACCTGTATTCTCTTGTCGCCACATAGTGAGGACGGGGCAAGGCCAGGCCTTTGCTTACCTCGCAGAGATCCTTAGCATGGTCTCCAGATGCCTTAGCTTGGCCTGCTCTAGGAGTCCTGGGCTCCCAGCCCACCTTGGGAACCTCCGGACACACACCTCCACTCCACCCCAGGTTCTCCAGCACATGACAGGGGTCAGGGTTGGTTAGGGTAGTTCCTAATGCTTGACCGATGGCCATGGCCATCTGCTGGTCCCACCAGTGCTGAAGCCTCACAGCCCAGCTGTTCTCTGGCCTTCCTCTTGATTGCCCCACCTGTAAAATGGGTTCCCAGCTGCAGGGTGGGGAGACAGGGCGTGCTTGCCCCCCGTGGTGAATGCCTCATCTGCGCGGGACACGTGTGGGCGTGTGTGCACGTCTGGGCCATGTGCGTGCACGCATGTGCTCGTCTGTGTGCTGCCACCTCAGGCCTCCTGTGAATATTCATCACCCTCATTACAGTCTTCCCTCCTGCTGAGCTAAAAATAGCTGGGGGTGAGTGGAGGAGGGGCTCGCCAAAGGGACCCCTCTGCTCTCCCCTTCCCAGACAAAGGTTTCCGAGTTTCCTGGAGTCCTGTGCCTGCCCTTGGCCTGTCACTGGCCAGTTCCCACCTGCCCTTCACCCTCAGGAGAGAGGACTTGGGCCTGGGCGGGCCAGGGCTGCTAGACTCACATAGAAGAGACTGAGCACTGAACTGGACCCAGCTCTGTCTCGGTGCTGCAGTGCGAGGAGCAGGGCCTCCTTCCTGGGGAAAACTGCCTGGTGGGTGCAGAGTGCTCAGGAAATTCCCTGAGCAGCAGCCCTGGGAGCCTGGGGAGGAAGCCTGGGTCCGTGGGGTAGCAAGGCCTTCTGGTGTCCTGGCTGACCCACCTTAGATGAGGGGCAGCCCTGCTGTGTGCCAGCTTTGGTCTGTCTGGTGGTAGCTGGGGTGAGGACAGGGCATCTGGGCTCTGCGCCAGCGTCTCCAGGCTGTCCTGAATGCACCTGCCTCCACACCCCCTGTAAATTAACCCTTTTAGGCCCTGTGGGAAGCCAGCCCCGCCCGGAGCGTGGGAGTATTTACCCCCCCATCTGAGCAAAGACTCTTTGATGCCATCCCTTGGCCTGGCCCACACCCACTGCCCTTTTTCATGGGGACCCAGAGACTGGCTGGGGCTGCTGATAAATCAGAGTTTGGGTGTGGCCGCCCTTCCTGGCTTGCCCACCTGCTCCACTTTCTCCTTCTAGCAGTTCAGGAACCAGAGAGGGAACTGAAGTCTGGGTGGGGGCGTGGGGGGCTTGAGATAACCATTGGTGGGCTGTGGCGGGTCCTAATTGCTGCACCGAACCCTCCCTCCCCCGCCAGAGCTCAAGGCCACAGGCACTGCCCACTTCTTCAACTTCCTGCTCAACACAACTGACTACCGAATCCTGCTCAAGGACGAGGACCACGACCGCATGTACGTGGGCAGCAAGGACTACGTGCTGTCCCTGGACCTGCATGACATCAACCGCGAGCCCCTCATTGTAAGGGCCAGTCTACATGTAGGGATGCGGGGTGGGGTGCCGAGGGGCCCGTCCAGCCCGTGGCACCCCCTGACTCTCATCTCCGGCAGATCCACTGGGCAGCCTCCCCACAGCGCATTGAAGAGTGCGTGCTCTCAGGGAAGGATGGCAATGTGAGTGCAGTGGGGGGCCACAGGTGGGGGGGGCGGGCGGCCCCAGGGAGGCATGGGGACAGGAGGGCATCTAGGCACCTCCGTGGCTCTCCCTCTGGCCCCAGGGCGAATGCGGGAACTTCGTCAGACTCATCCAGCCCTGGAACCGGACACACTTGTACGTGTGTGGGACCGGCGCGTACAACCCCGTGTGCACCTATGTGAACCGCGGCCGCCGAGCCCAGGTGAGCCCCAGCCCCGGCCCCACGCTGCCCCAGCCTCTGCCGGTAGCTGCGTTGCGGGTTCTGATGGGAACGTGGGCTTGAGTCCCAGCCCTGTGGCCATGGGTGAGTAACTTCTTTCACCCCTCAGCCTCAGCTCCCCTCCCTGAAAATGGGGCTAATAGCTGCCTTTCTCACAGGTCGGTGTGAGGAGGAGGCAGTGAGCTAATGCTCCCAGAGCCCTTAGCACTGTGCCAGGCACGTAGTAAGTGCTCACTCCACATGTGGCAACCATCCTCTTGGCCATGCCGTGGCCCACGCCCCCGCAGCCAGCCAGGGGGCCCGAGGGCCCGAGCATCAGGAGGTTGAATGCTGGGTCAGCTTCCTCCCACCGTGCGGCCTGGGGGAGAGCTGCTCCCTCTCCAGCTCTGCCCTGCCTTGCCTGCTTCTGCCCTTTTCCATTTCCATGTAGGCATGTGCGTGAGCCGGTGTGACCTTACAGGGCATGTGCGAGAGTGATGTGGGCCCGTGGGACATGCGTGTGCCAAGCTGCGGATGTGTGCACACCTGTGTGCATCTGTGCGCTCGAGCGTGTTCCTGGCACGTGTGGTGTGAGAAGCTGGCAGCCCCAGCCCGCTCCCCCAGCCCCCGCCACCCCTGGCTCTAACCCCTGTTCCTCATCTTCTCAGGCCACACCCTGGACCCAGACGCAGGTGGTCAGAGGCCGAGGCAGCAGAGCCACGGATGGCGCCCTCCGCCCGACGCCCACAGTCCCACGCCAGGTGGGCCTCATCCCTCCAGGCCCGTGCCAGCGGCACCACTTACGAACTAAACTCACCCTGGGCCTGGCCTTCCAGCCAGGACCTGCCCCCGGGCCAGGCTCCCCAGGGTCTCCCCTCTGTCTCTGTGCCCCCACCCCCCTTCTGCAGTGCCCTCAGGCTCTGAAGGTATTCCCAAAGGGACCCATGTCAGCCTCAGTGTGACCCCTGCAGGCAAGGAATCATGACGCCACCAGGTGGGGAGGACAGGAGCCCTGGGGCCAGCCATGCCTCACCCCCGGACCCCACTTGTATGGACGCTGGACCACCTGGGCACGCCCGCTACACGTGGGCCCCCGTTGTGCTCTCACCCCCACTGCTCGCGCCCAGAGCGGGAGCGTGGCAGCCGTGTCCAGCCTGACACACACTCGGGTGCCCGTGCCCATGTCCGTGCCTGCCCCGGGCCTTCAGCTGACGGCCTCTCCCTGGGGTGGAAGGGCACCGCCGTCCGTCCGCTAGCCATGATCCCGGGTCTGGTCTGGGGGTGCCGGGGCTGGGCCGGGGCGGGCCCGGGGCAGGGGCTGCCGCTGAATGATGGAGAAGGCGGTCAGTTGAGCTGCGTGTCTGGTGGGCAGTGCTGAGAAGCGGGCCGCGCGGGCACTGCGTGTGTGTGCCAGGTGAGCAGTGGGTACAGAGTGCGCAGCGGCGTGTGTGGAGCTGTGTGTGCCGGGAGTCGTGTGCGGAGTGGAGCGGAAAGCGGGCCTGTGTGTATCTTCCATCACCACCCTGCCACCTGCTGCCGCCTCCTTCCTTCCTCCTTGCCGCTCTCCTCTACCCCCCCACCCCCACCCCACGCACTCTCCTGGTCCAGCACCTTCAGCGTCGTTCCTCCTGGCGTCTCCTGGGCTGGGTTGGGAGGCACAGGGGGCTCGGTGAATTCCATGTGTTCTAAACTGGACCTCTCAACTTCTGGCACCCTGGGAAGGCGTGGAGCTGCGGGCTCTGCTGAGGGACAGGGAAAGGCCACAGACTGCTAGTCTGTCCTGAGGACCAGCGGTCCGGTAGGGAGGGTATAAAGCCTGGGGACACACTGCCCTCAGCACCCTCCGGCCTGGAGGGACCTGGTAGCAAAGGACCGGAGCTCAGGCCCTCGGCCTCCGTCCTCTGGCTAGCAGCCCTCTTTCGGCCTAGGACAGGCAGAAACCGCTCAGTGAGTTGTGCTTCTGTGGCCCGAGGGGACCCTGACCAGAGTCTTTCTGAGGTGGTTGGCATGGAGGAGCCTACCCATGCCCCTCTCGTGACTCCCAAAGCAGAGCCCTCCAAGACCTGGGACCCGGAAGCACCTCCCTTAGGCCCCACGGCATGGCCCTGAGTGACCGTGCCGCAGTTAAAACCCAAGGAGCCCTGAAGAATGGTGGGGGTGGCTTCGGGGTGCCCCTGGGGGCTCGCTCTCACCCTGGGATCCTGACCCCTGCCCTTCCTGGCTGTGGGACCAGCGTGGGTGGTGCTGAGTCCCCCTCTGCCCTGCAGGACTACATCTTCTACCTGGAGCCCGAGAGACTGGAGTCAGGGAAGGGCAAGTGTCCGTATGACCCCAAGCTGGACACAGCCTCGGCCCTCATCAGTGAGTGCCCCACCCCACCCCACCCCCCGTGTGGCCACTGCCTCTAGGATGGGGGGGGCAGCAACACTTACCCCGGGCATGCCATCCCTCAGCCCCGTGGTGGGGCCGCCTCGTAGCGGGCCAAGCCAGGGCCATGCGCGTCCAGGCACAGACAGGGTGTGGGCCTCCATCCAGCCCCTGGGCTGGGGGCGCTCGGGGGACGCATCCCACCCTGAAGTCCGGTGTGGGCCCTGCAGAGGTAGAACTGTTCCAGCCACCACAAGTTGTCTGGAAGAGAAGATAAGCTGAAACGATCGGGGGCAGTCTGACGGGGTCGGGGGTCCCATGGCATGTCCTGGGCTGGCCGGAGAGGTTGGAGAAACCCCACAAAGGAACCTCAGCGGAGAGGCCCGGCCCGATGAGCAGCAGGGGCTTGTTCCCGGCCTAGCCGGGTGTCAGAGGGGCTGGGGGGTGCTCTCTGAGGAGGGCACTGCTGGGCCCCAGCAGAGCGGCTTCTCCAGCACAAGTCACAATCCTGAGCCCTGTTTCCTGGCTGCCCAACCTTATCCACTCCTGGCAGCTGCTGCGCCACCTCCGGCCCTGGGCAAGGGCCCCGGGGTAGGTGGCATGATCCTGCCCCTCTTGGCCAACAGGAAGATCCTAGCGCCGTGGCAGAACCAGGCCCAGGGCCCTGGCGGGGGAAGCAGGGCTTGCCCTGGGCAGCTCTAAGAGGGAAGAAATGGCGTGAGCTGGAGCCAGGGTAGTGGTCAGACTTCCTGTTAAAACGTTCAGGTGTTTGGCGATCCAGCGGTTAAACACAGCTACTGTCAAAAGTGAAGCCACATGCACGTTCAATTAAGTAAATCATTTAAAAAATACAGGTAATAACTATTCAGACTCAATGCTTCCTAGGTGTTTTATTACATTTTCTTATCTGCGCTCTTGAGGTGACTTGCACCTGGGGGCGGAGGGGCTCCCCGCTGCTGTAGCAGCTCTTCCCCTCCCCACCTGTGACCTCCGGACCTCAGCCGGAGGCCTGAAGTCAGCCACGAGGGGAGTTAGGGGTGTGTTCTCCCCACAGACATGGCTGGTTGCGGCTGCCAGAGCCACTGCCGGCATCTTACCCCGCAGCCACCCCACCCACCTGTCATACACTCCTGCCCTGGGGAGGCTAGGGGGCAACAGGACTGCTCTGGGGTCAGCGGGCGGGGGCTCCTGGGGTCCCTGACCGAGCCGCTGGCTTCCCGCAGATGAGGAGCTCTACGCTGGAGTGTACATCGACTTCATGGGCACCGACGCGGCCATCTTCCGGACGCTGGGGAAGCAGACAGCCATGCGCACTGACCAGTACAACTCCCGGTGGCTCAATGGTGAGCGCGGCCCAAGCCCGCGGGTGGGCAGCACCGCGGAGAAGCACCGGCGGGACTCCTGCAGCTGGTTGGGCGGGGGGGAGCCTCCTGTCTGGGGGAAGAATTGCTCCTGGGCATGGCCGCTCATTCTGTCTGCAAAAGAGGCATTGTGGGAGGAGGGCTCGCCAGCTGACCTCTGCCCCTGCAGACCCTTCCTTCATCCACGCGGAGCTCATCCCTGACAGCGCCGAGCGCAATGACGACAAGCTCTACTTCTTCTTCCGGGAGCGGTCCGCGGACGCGCAGCAGAGCCCGGCGGTGTACGCCCGCATCGGGCGCATCTGCCTGGTACGCAGCGGTGGCGCCCCGGCTCCCCGCGACCCGGTCAGCCCTGTGTCCGCAGGGTCCTGGGCCAGCCGGCTGCTCTGACCCAGCCCCCCGCCCCCTGTCCCGCAGAACGACGACGGCGGCCACTGCTGCCTGGTCAACAAGTGGAGCACATTCTTGAAGGCAAGGCTGGTCTGCTCGGTGCCTGGCGAGGATGGCATTGAGACCCACTTCGATGAACTCCGTGAGTGCCCAGGCAGACGGACGGGGTCCTGGGGCTGCCACGGAAGAGACAGAAGCTGACTGGGTGGGCAGGCCCTGGGCTCCTGGCTAGGATACCCGCCCAGCACCCTTTTCCTCTGTTCCCAGAGGACGTGTTTGTCCAGCAGACCCAGGACGTGAGGAACCCAGTCATTTATGCTGTCTTTACCTCCTCGGGGTAAGACGAGCCCACCAGCAGCGGCAGCGTATTTCTGGGTTGGGGTCTCTGCCTTGTAGAGGAGCCCAGCCTGGTGGCAAGTTGTCGGGTGAGGGCGGTCTGGGAAGGGACCCTGGGGATCTGCTCTGCCCACCACAGCGTCCCACCCTGCTTGTAGCTCGGTGTTCCGAGGCTCCGCCGTGTGCGTCTACTCCATGGCCGACATTCGCATGGTCTTCAACGGGCCCTTTGCCCACAAGGAGGGCCCCAACTACCAGTGGATGCCCTTCTCAGGGAAGATGCCCTACCCGAGGCCGGGCACGGTGAGAACCCCGCTCGTCGGCCCGTCCACTTGCTCTCCTTTTAGAAGGCCTGCTGTGGGTCAGCTCATTGCACGCGTGGACCCTGCCATCACGAAGTCAGGTTGGGGAGGTGGGCTACATGCGTGTATAAACCGTCCATAGCCCCTTAATAAGGCTGAATTATTTTGGGGGGGGTTGGGCAGCTGTGGGTAGGTTTGAAATAGAGTGGATTTTTTTTTTTTAATTTTAATTTAAAAGGGAAAAATCAGCCCATTTACACACAAGGTCAGGCTGCGAAGGACCTCAGCCAGGATCCTGAAACAAGGGTGTCGGGCTGGGCATGGTAGGCTGCTCCGGGGAATGCCTTCTGCGGGTGTCTGGGAGCTTAGAGCTTACTTGAGGGAAGAATCTTCACAGCAAGAGCAGAAAGGCAGCTAGGGTCAGCACAGCTGGCGAGCAGTCGTCGGGGTGGGGGTGGGGGCGGGCCAGGGCCCGGCCAGTGGTGGCGGGAGACGATTCACCCGTCTAGGTCTGATGCGGGTTGTGCTACTGAGATCTAAACCCGAGAGCGAGGTGATCTGCCCCCGTGCCTGGGATGTCACAGCTCCATGAGGTCAGGCCTGGGATGGGGAAGCCAGTCTCTGGAGGGGGAAGGCTTCCCGCTGGAGGTAAACTTGGAGGCTGGAAGGATGGGCTGGACTTAGCGGCCAGGGCAGGGGAGCTGACTCCCAGGCAGAGCACACACAGCATCGGGACGGAGCAGAAAATGCCGCACATCCTCCGGGGACTCAGGTCATGGCGCGTGAGGCCAGAGGGGCGGCCGTGGAGTTTGACCTTGTGGGACCTTGAGACCTTGGCTGGAACAGGGTCTGGGTGTCGGCAGACGCCTGCAGGGGGGTAGCAGGGAGAGGGCACGGGGCCAGGCAGAGAGGTCTCTCCAGTGAACCCCGTCTGGGTGGCCTGGCTCTGATGTTCATCGCCTGCCCGCAGTGCCCCGGCGGGACCTTCACACCGTCCATGAAGTCCACCAAGGACTATCCTGACGAAGTGATCAACTTCATGCGCAGCCACCCGCTCATGTACCAGGCCGTGTACCCGCTGCAGCGACGGCCCCTCGTGGTCCGCACGGGCGCGCCCTACCGTCTCACCACCGTCGCTGTGGACCAGGTGGATGCAGCCGACGGGCGCTATGAGGTGCTTTTCCTGGGCACAGGTACCCGCCGCTGCTCCCGGCCCCTCCCACGCTGGGCCCGCTGGGTGGAGGGTGCAGACCCGTGGGGCTGGGACCTACCCTGCTAGGGGTTGCTACAGGCTGGTCGAGGCCAGCTGTGCCATCCTCATCCTCGGGAGCCTTCTCCCTATTGCTGGGATCACTGAGATGGGCGAACCCCATTCCGATCCCCATCCCAGGGGGCCAGTATAAGCGGGGATGCTGCCCTCCTGGGGCAGGGAAGGGAGACAGATGACAGGTACCCCAAGGAGCTGGGTGTGCACACCATGAGTGCAACACGGGGACACCTCCAGCACTGCGGGTCTGGGACGGGACAGCCTGACCACCATCCCTTATCCTCGGCCAGTGCCCCCCTTCGGGAGACACTCTTCAGCCTTGGCACAGAGCTCCTGCTCTACTGCCCTCAGGGTTTTGGGCCTGGTGGGGGAAGGGGCTGAGGCCAGTGCCTCTTCCCCAGCAGCCTCAGCCCCACTGAGGCCCTGCCCGGCCCGTTCCAGACCGCGGGACAGTGCAGAAGGTCATTGTGCTGCCCAAGGATGACCAGGAGATGGAGGAGCTCATGCTGGAGGAGGTGGAGGTCTTCAAGGTGGGTCCCCAGCCAGTCTGTCCTCCCCCTGGCCCTCCGTAGCACCAGCTCCTGACCTCAGCTCAGGCAGGCTGGGAAGGGAGTCTCCGGGTCCCAGACTGACCCCTCTCTTCTTCCAGGACCCAGCACCTGTTAAGACCATGACCATATCTTCCAAGAGGGTGAGTTTGGCAAGGTGGGCTGGGTGTCAGGATGGAGTCTGCACCTCCCTGGGGTCATGCCCTCGGTACTGGGATGGGAAAACTGAGGCATGGGACAAGGAAGGGCAGGAACCCAGCCCGGCCGACTCCTGATGGGGGCTGACCGTGGGGAAGGAACTGACAAGCCCCTTCTGTCCTTAGCAACAACTGTACGTGGCCTCGGCAGTAGGCGTCACGCACCTCAGTCTGCACCGCTGCCAGGCCTACGGGGCTGCCTGTGCCGACTGCTGCCTCGCCCGGGATCCCTACTGCGCCTGGGACGGCCAGGCCTGCTCCCGCTACACCGCATCCTCTAAGAGGTGTGAGCCCCAGGCCCGTGGACCCCTAGCTGCCAGACCAGGGCCCAGTCTGGGGAGGTTGGAGGTAGATGGGATTTGACCCTAGGGGAGGTCTTGGGTGATTCATCCTTACCCTGGAGTCTTGGGGGTTCAGGGACAGAGGGGGGGCTCCCAACTTTCCTTGGGAATACTCCTTCAGGAGCTATCTTCTTCCAGGCGGAGCCGCCGGCAGGACGTCCGGCACGGGAACCCCATCAGGCAGTGCCGTGGGTTCAACTCCAACGGTGAGTGTCTGCCTCACCCACAGAACTGTGTCCAGGGCCCTCGGCTGCTTACGGATGATCCCATGCCAGCAGGAGGTGGTCCCTAGCCACCCCCTCAAGGACTAGATGCCCAGCGGCACCCTGCTTTTCTGGGTGGGGGTCTACGTGTATTCCTGCCGCCCCCTGCAGTCAGCCCGGCAGCCAAGCTGCATTCACACGCTGCTGTCTTGCTCCTCAGCCAACAAGAACGCTGTGGAGTCTGTGCAGTACGGCGTGGCCGGCAGTGCAGCCTTCCTTGAGTGCCAGCCCCGCTCGCCCCAGGCCACTGTCAAATGGTTGTTCCAGCGAGATCCCAGTGACCGGCGCCGCGAGGTGAGTCCCTGTGCCTGCCAGTCCTCACGGGGAGTCCCTTGGGGAGTGGAAATTCCCCTTGGTTGAAGTGTGGTATAGAAACCAAAGTGGGGCGGCCCTCCTTCTAAGATGCCTTTCCAGGTTTCCTTCCCCATGTGGAAATCATTTGACTCAGTCTAGTTATATGCGGAAACTCCGTGGAGTTTCCCGCTACATGGAGACCCGGCCTCGTCCACTGGGGGTGCACTCTAGTGTGCACACGTGTGGGCGAGCTCCAGTGCGTGGACACCCTGCGTGTACCCTCATTTTATGGAACTATCCTTACATGGTAATATGTGGGTGCTCCAGCTCAGCACCCTCATGAAGCAGAGGTTCTGTATGTGCTCTCCAAAGCTCTCTGGCTGTGTGGAGCCCCCCTTGTGCTCTTCCCTCCCAAAGTGGGATCATGCATGTGGCTGCCTTACTGAGGTGCTGTGGAGCCACTTCACGTGGGTTGTTTCTTGGTCTGTGGACGCTCGGCGTGGCAATGCCTGCAGGGAGTGGCCCCGGGGGACGGTCTGACCTGGAAGCTGGCTTGGCCAGCGGTGGACAGCCAGCCCCTGAGCTCCGTGTCTGCCCTGCAGATTCGTGCAGAGGACCGCTTCCTGCGTACAGAGCAGGGCTTGCTGCTCCGTGCCCTGCAGCTCGGGGATCGAGGCCTCTACTCCTGCACAGCCACGGAGAACAACTTCAAGCACGTCGTCACGCGAGTGCAGCTACACGTACTGGGCCGGGATGCTGTCCACGCTGCCCTCTTCCCGCCGCCGGCTGTGAGCGCCCCTCCATCTCCCGGCGCAGGCCCCCCCACGCCCCCCTACCAGGAGCTGGCCCAGCTGCTGGCCCAACCAGAAGTGGGCCTCATCCACCAGTACTGCCAGGGTTACTGGCGCCATGTGCCGCCCAGTCCCAGGGAGGCACCGGGGGCACCCAGGCCTCCTGAACCCCAGGACCAGAAAAAGCCCCGGAACCGCCGCCACCACCCACCAGACACATGAGGCCAGCTGTCAGCCCTGCAGTGGGCCAGCCTAGCCCTTGTCCCTTTTAATATAAAAGATATATATATATATATATAAATATAAAAATATCTATATTCTATACACACCCTGCCCCTGCAAAGACAGTATTTATTGGTGGGTTGTATATAGCCTGCCTCGGCGGCAGCATCTTCCAAAACTCAGACCCACGCTGGTCAGAGATGGCAGGAAACAGCCAGCCTAAGCCGGCCCAGTCCGTCGGCAGCGCCAGGCCAGGACCACCAGTCTTCAGACTCCGCTGGGAGTTCGCCTGCCGGACGACAGCCACCTCCAGATCTCCGGGACCCAGGGAGCAGTCAAGCTCTACCTGGACAGGGCACGCCCCGTGCACCTTGGCCAGCGTGTGCCGTCAGCTTGTGCCGTCGGCGTGGGCCTGACGCGAGGACTGCTTTGGAGACTGAGGGTGGTGGGCGGGCGGGGCTCAGAAGGGAAGAAGGGGCGCGACAGGATGCCAGCCCCTGCCTAGGAGGGGGGCGCCCAGTCACGGGCAGCCCCTCCCCAGGTATTTATTCTCTATTTATTGGGCACGGGAGAAGAGGGGAGCCCTGCCAGGGGCAGCACCTCTAGCCCGCCTCCCCTCCTGCTGCCGGGCAGGGCTGCCTCACTCTACCTCCTCTTCTTTTGTTCTGTGTCACTTGGACTGGGGGGCTGGGGGAATAATAGGGGTCACGTGCAGGCAGGGCTGAGGGGAGAGTGGCCGTGGTGGAGCGGCTCCCCAGGGCTCCTTTCTGCCCACCACTTCTGATGGGTGTAAATAGCTCTGGGTTGGGCACGAGAAGGTGGGACGGGGCCCCTGCTGGCCTTCCACTCCCCAGGCCACAGCGCCCTTGGTTCCATCTTGCTAATAAACACTGGCTCTGGGACTGGACTCTGGTTTTCTCGCTGGAGGGGAGGGAGGATGGGTGTTCAGCTCAAGCCCAGATTCTCTCCTTCCTGCTCGCCAGGTGACCTGGCCACCAGGTCCCACAATTCTCTTTTGCAAACCCAGCTTCTGTTCACTCATGTGACTGATCATTCGTTCGACACTGCTTTCTCACCTAGTTTTGTGTCTGGGACTCAGAGTTGGCAAGACAGAGACCCACTTCTCCCAGGACAGTTGTCCCTCCCTTGAAAGTTGACCAAATTCCCATCTTCCGTGTCTTCCTGCTGCCTCCCAACAGAGCATCCAACATGAACAAATGTCCAGAGGTGGTGGTGAACAGAATAGGTGGGGAGCCGCTGGACAGGGAGAAGTTGGGCAGTGGGGGGAGCCCTGAGCCAAATGTACCAAGTCCAGCCCTGGCAGGGGAGCTAAGGGCTGGGGAGGCACAGTCAGCAGCAGGCTGAGGGAGCCAGGCAGGGCTTAGATTGGCCCTACTTAAATCCAGAATGTTGACACCAGGTTTTCATTAGCTTAACCAACTAGGCTCCAGCACCACCCTCTGGGCAGTGTGTAGGGGGCTGCAGAGATGCCGCCCCCCCCCCCAATTCACACACATATACACGCACACTCATAATGTGGGTGGTGGTGCAGAAGGATAGAGGTGAAACTGGCACAAAGGAAGGCTGAAAATGGTACAAGTGGTACATTGCCCTGAAGAGCCCCTCCCCCCACCCCCAACAGGTAATATGTCAGCCACCAGCCCTGGTAGGAATCAATACCACTTCTCTGTTCTATTTAGGGACAGGTTTCAGTGCTCAGTGCCTGGGGTCCTGGCACCCCCTTGTGGCCTCTTGGGTCTGCAACAGAATTGAGAACTAAAAGAGGTTTCCAGCCAAAAGTCCAGCCCTTCGGCTCAGCCCCCTGGAAGGTACACTGCGAGGTGGGAAATCTCCAGAAACTTTGCACTCAACATCACCAGCTTGATTGAACTATGTCTATGCAGTAGCGTGTCCTGCACCATCTGAACACACAGACACCAGACCCCTAGGCAGACCCAGAGCAGCCACAGGGGGCAGGACAGTAGAATAAACTGGGGGTGTCAGACCTGCTCTGGGCCTCAGTTTCCCCATCTGACAATAGGCCTGTAAGACATTCTTTGGGGGGGTGGGTCTCCCTGGTGGCCTAGACTTTAAGCCTCAGTGCTGTCACCACTATGGCCTGAGTTTGCTCTGCGGCCAGAGAGCTGACCCACATATGGTGCAGCAGACTCCTGTCTCGCCTGCTGCTCCCGTTAGCCAAGTATTTCAGTAAGTTGACCTGTCCTGCTTCCCACTCTGGTGGGTCCTCCCACACACAACCCCCCTTACTTCTGGCCTGTACCCCAGTTCTATGCAAAAATAAAATATTTTAAAACATCCTTTGGAAGAAGCCTACTCCTTTGCAAGTCAGAGACTTGCATCCAAGTGCACATACACCCAGTGTGTGACACACATGCAGGAATGTATACACGCAGGCACACAGACACAGGCACTAGCAGGCAAGAGCACACTAGTGTGCGTTCCACATGTGCACACATTCATACATTCACAGGCATGGTGGTCCACACAAGCCCGCAACGCACACACACAAGCGCACACACATGAACAGACGTGCACAGCACAGGCACTCACATGAAGGCAGTTGTGACGTGTGCACAGGCACTTGCTAACAGCGTGAGCACAGCCCAGGCTCACCAGCCACGTAGCGTGTGATTCCTGGCATGGTGCAAGTAACACAGAGCAGACAGGCCTGCCCGCAGAGTTGCAGTCACGGAAGCCTCGAGAGGCTCCACCCAGACCAGATCCAGCGATCCAGATGGGGCAAATGCAAAGTCTATCATTTCCCCCTTGGCTCCCCAGAACATGGAACTGGCCCAGGGTCATCCCATCCTTTTCTACTACCCCCTGCCGTGTGACCCTCTGATCTCTACTTCCTCAGCAGTAAAATGAGGTTGATGATGCTTTTGATGTGGCACTCAAACCTCAGGGCTGCTGCATGCTTGCAGGCAAGGAGGGGTGCCGAGCCCAGTGCTGGGTAGGGAGCAGGTGTTCTGTGCCTGCTACTCTCTGCCCCTGGTGTTGGCCCCACCCCTGACCGCCCCCAACTCCTGACTCTAGGCCCTCCCCTCCTGTTTCTTAGCTCAGACCTTATGGACATATCTCCCAGCTCTGGGGCAGGGGTTGGATTGTTTTCAGGGCCTCTCCTGGATGGTTGAAGTGGGGATCGAGGGAGCGCCAAGTCAGCAGTTGAAGGATTGGGGTCACACCAGCCTGATTAGAAGAGCAGGGGGCTGAGCTGTCCTTGTTTCTGATTGGCCCTTGCGTACCCTCAGCTCCCAAATCCCACTAAGCAACCCCATCAGGACCTGCATAGGTCTGTGGAGAGTCAGTTGATTGCCCCGTTCTGAGGTCAGAGGGAGTCTGGGGAAGCCAGAACTGGCTTCAGCCAGGGGATCCTGACCACCCAGAAGAACCAACTGACCATCCTGTTCCTCCACCGGCTGCTGGGGCCATGGGGGCTGGGGCCAGCGCTGAGGAGAAACATTCCAGGGAGCTGGAAAAGAAGCTGAAAGAAGATGCTGAGAAGGATGCTCGAACCGTAAAACTGCTGCTTCTGGGTATGGGTATGGGTATGGGTTCAGGTGGGATCACTGACGCCAGTCAGGGCCCTTAGGTGAAGGAGGGGTATTTGGGAATGAGCCTGTGTCAGGGCAGGGAACAGAGTGGGATCCAGGTCAGGCTGGACTGGAAATACCGTGGCTCCTCAAGCCTGGGTATTCCACAAAGCCCCACTCCAGAGGGCCTCCCTTTCCAAGAAGTGTGTGCGAACCATCCTTTTGAGTAAATTTGTGTACAGGCACACTTTTGTCCTGGTCAGGCTCCCCGAAGCACCAGCCTTGGGGTCCATGGGCCTGCTAGGCAGAGCTCAGAAACCAGGCACCTCCTCAGGAAGGCTGCTCCCTTGGGAAGGAGAAGGTCACAGCCATCCTGGGAGTGGCCAGCCTCTAGGGCCACCCAGTGGCACAGACAGTGGCCCTCAGTTTCCAGAAACTCATTGTTGGCAGACCTGTAAAGCAACTAAATGTGGTGGTGGGGCACTGAGGGCCAGTGAGAAAAAGACAGAGCCGTGTTCTGTTCAGGGCCCCTGGGGTAGCGAGGGGAGATGGCCCTGGCCCAGTGGCTTCCCACCGGAGGAGGAGGGGGCCACGTTAAAGGCACTGCAGATTCTACCCAGGTCTGGAGTCCACCATGTAAGCAGTGGAAGTGGACAGAGGGACCAAGCCAGAGTACCCCAGGGAAGACAGGGATCTCATTAACTGTGTCCACCATCCTCCTGAAGTCAGGCTGTCAACTATGTCCTCTCCTCCACCTAGAGGCATTAATTCCCTCTGACACTCCCCTTCCCCAGGCACTCCTCCCCACCCAAGTGAAAAGCAGGGGTTGAATCAACTTCAGTAATCCCATGCAGGCAGTACCAGAGCTCCCCACAAGGTGACACTCGGGGTTTCATTTATTCTTGTCTCAATGTCTGTGTGTAGCAAGTTCTTAGCCAGTCCCCAGAACTGTTGAGGGTTTTCATTTCCCTTTGTCATTCAGACATTTACGAAAGTTTTTTTTCCACCAGGACGTCATCCTTTCCTTCCTGATGGAGGGAGGGAACGGGATCACGGGGTGCCCTGGGTCCACCCGGCCATCTTGCTAGGGGTCGGGAGGGTTGCTGCGGTATTGTTTCTTTGCTTCCTTTCCAGGTGCTGGTGAGTCAGGCAAGAGCACCATTGTCAAGCAGATGAAGTGAGTGCCCTCCCTTCTGGAGGAGTGCGTGCACACGTGGTGCATGTATGTAGCTGGCCCTTCCCCACGGATGCAGGAGGTGCTAACCCACTTGCCCTGACTACAGGATCATCCACCAGGATGGGTACTCCCTGGAAGAGTGCCTCGAATTCATTGCCATCATCTATGGTAACACCCTTCAGTCCATCCTGGCCATCGTGCGTGCCATGACCACGCTGAACATCCAGTATGGAGACTCTACACATCAGGTGTGCCAGGAGACGGGCTGAGGTGGACCTTGGGGGACTCAGACGCCTGGCGGTGTCCAAGCCCAGTGCCACCACCAACCACTCCCACCTTAACCGCAGGATGATGCCCGGAAGCTAATGCACATGGCAGACACCATCGAAGAGGGCACCATGCCCAAGGAGATGTCGGACATCATTCAGCGACTGTGGAAGGACTCGGGTATTCAGGCCTGTTTTGAACGCGCCTCAGAATATCAGCTCAACGACTCCGCGGGCTAGTGAGCCAGCAGTCTGGGGGTGGGGGGGAGGAAGGAGGTGGGAGGCCCTGCCTCGCGCTACCAACACCCCACCACACCGCTGGCGTCCCCCGGCAGCTACCTCTCCGACCTGGAGCGCCTGGTGGCCCCTGGCTATGTGCCCACTGAGCAGGACGTGCTGCGCTCGCGTGTCAAGACCACCGGCATCATTGAGACGCAGTTCTCCTTCAAGGATCTCCACTTCCGGTACAAGTCTGTGAGGCGCCCCCCCCCCCAAGGTTCACCACCCCAGACATGTCCCATCCCAGAAGTCCCACCCCTAGGAGATCCTGCCCCTCCTCGGAGAAAGCTCCTGCCCACAGAAAGAACTGGCCCCTCCTTATGCCAGTCCCCTCTTCCCCGCCCCCCAGCCTCAACAGCATTAAGAGGCGAGGGATCCCCGTGGGGCATCTGGGGGGGGGTCCATGCGTGGGTTCAGGCCCCAGTGGCCCCGCAGGATGTTCGATGTAGGTGGACAGCGCTCGGAGCGCAAGAAGTGGATCCACTGCTTCGAAGGTGTAACCTGCATCATCTTCATCGCGGCGCTCAGCGCCTACGACATGGTGCTGGTGGAGGACGACGAAGTGGTGAGTGTTAAGCAGGACCTGGCTGTTGGGGGAGGGGCAGAGCTGCCGACCCAGG